CTTTGTGCATTTAGTAATTATGAAGATCAGTGACACACTTATGCTTCTGTGATCAATTTTATATTGGTAATTATAATGACAAAAAATGCTTCTGGTTGGGGTAAACACAGCCTTATGATCACAGAATCATCATGGTTTAAACTCCAATTTATATACACTTGTGTCACGGGTGTGAAGGACAATCAATGAAAGACTCTGATGTGTAAAAGTGTGTGCGTTAGAATCAAACTCCATGACGGGAAAATGGAGCAAACATCCAAGTTGAAGAAGAAAAGAGATGCACGTGTTATCACCATTAACAGTCTGCTCGGTTTTTAAAGGGTGGTAGTGGTTATCCAGTCAGTCGCATACTTGGTACTGGATCCTTTCAAGAGCAGTCTCACTGTGAACTTCAATGTCCACAGATACACTGCACTAGACATTACATCTAATTCTATTTAAAATTAGCAGTAAGCTCGATGTCTACTTAGAAACGCACCTGTAGTTTTCGAAGTTATTTTATGGAACGTGAGCAAAAATGTCTGAAGATCTCAGCTGGAAGGCAATACAACTGTGAAAGACCCATAATCTAACGAGCTCCCCCCACCTTATTATGTCCAGTGAACTCTGGATCAACAAGTTCAACTTGGGCATAGGAGACGGCAAAACCCCTCCCCCCTCAAAATAATTGGTGGAAAAATATTTCCTTTCCATTTCAAACCAAAAAAAATCATACTTTTGGATGGATTTTCCTACAATGATGACTAAAATGTTGGCAATGAGAAGCGTATTTGTTGTTTCCTGGCCTTGCAATGTCCAACTGATGGCTCGAAATTGCGAGATAAGATTTGTATGTGAAGTACAGTGACCGTGATCACAGTGATCACCACGCTGTCCCATCTCCCCTGTCAGGCTGTCCCATCTCCCCTGTCAGCCGTTTTAGGGGTCTGCTATGTATTTTGCAATCAAGACTTTCCTGCCTTTACAAAGGGAAGCATTCGGTTGCCAATGGATTCATTCATCCGGCTCCGGGATTCAGAGGCAGAAGAACCCCAGGAGAGACCCTCAGGCAAACCCCCAAAAACACAGAGTGAAGAAGGAGCCACACCACCGAATCCAGGTCAGAAGGTACTTTTTGAATGCAGCAAAAGAAAGCACCCCTCGGGCACTGGTTCAGGAATGCAGTTTTCCTCTCCGCCAGCAAAATCCTTCAACAGGTTTGGGAGGATGAAAACACCAACGACCTCGGTCTGAACAATGCTTCCCTCACCTGGGCTTCAGGCCAAGCAGGGGTGGGAGGGCAAGGTAGCCTCGCTCGGTAACTAGAAAAGGCTCTGCAAAGCCCTCTGGCTGGGGTGGCGGGTGGTGGCATGGTGGCATCCCACCTCGGGACGGCGGGCACTCCCCTGCCCAGGCCAATGTGCACCCTCGTCGGGGGTCCCCGCCAGAGTCTGCCCCTGCCCCCGTGCGGCCCCAAACTGGCGACACCGAACTCAGAGCCCTCCTCGCGCAACTTCGTGGTTTCGGGTCCTTTCCCGCAGCCTCCCTCACTCCGCCTGCCCGTCGGCGAAGGTGGGGACACCACGCCGTCCCCCGCAGCCGTGGAGGGGCCCCGCAGGAGCGCCAGGCTTCAAAGGAACTCTCTTCGTGACATGAAAACAGTAAGTGGATTACGCTGCTGCCCTCGAAGCCTGTGGACGTTTTAATCTTCTTAAAATGTCTCCTCTAAAAGTCACTTGCCAAGGAAGGAGGCTCACAGACGCTGTTAGGCCCCCACTAAGTGTTTCCAATGTTACCGCTACCCCAACGGCAGCGGGTTGGAAATAACTATCGTGCAGACTGGTGAAGTCGGACTTTGGCAAGCTTCCTTCTGATTTAGGGCCGGGAAGCTTCCTTTGCACACAGTGCAAAGATCCACAATCCCCCCAGGTCGCTCCAAGGGCCTTATTTCACAAAGGCCTCGCACCTGATACCTTTAATAAAAAAAAAAAAAAAAAAAAGCCACTCGAAGCACATTTTGAAAGTTCCATGTTTAAAAAGATCCTTGTTCATTGATTTTGGTGGGGTAATTAAGCGAATCTAAACAAGGGGGCCTTGTGTGGGCGCCTGTGGGGGAGGTGCGAGGGGCTGGCCTGGGCCGGTGAGCCCCCGGGCAGACACTGGTTGCTTGGCTCCAGGGTCCTCTCCCGCCCCCTACCCCCAACCCCCCTTCGAAACGATGCTCTTCATCTGGGAGGCTTTTTCCCTCTGGTCAAATTTCCACTCAGCAAAGCTACAATGCTCTCACGTTTCCTGGCTTGGAGTGGAAGCAACCCTCCTAATGGTGTTTCACTGAGTGCACCTTCAGCAGCAGAACTGCGTTGTAACAGAGAAATCTGGGGAGCCAGAGGCAACAGCTGTGGAGCAGCATCCTCCCCAGGAACACGGCTTCCAGCACTTTCCGGCTCCACAAATTACAGACAGGGCGCTGCCAGGGGTGTTCCCGAGCAGGGCACTGGCAATTTGGGCTTGTCTGCCACCTAGGACGCTAGCCGGCCGCCCTCACTCGGCGCCAGGCCGCGAGGCTGCTCGTCCTGGGCCACCCCTAACGGCTCCACGGGGCTGGGCGCCCGGGGCTCGCGGGACAAGAAGGCAGAGGGCACAGGGTGCAGACAGGTGATAGGGCCAAACAGGCCCCATGGTCGGAAAATAACGGCAGAGCCCAGACCCCAGCGCAGCCCTCGGCTCTTCTCCCCACCATCCCTCTGACAACACAGAGAAAACCAGTCCAACATCAAGCAACCTAATCGCTAGCCAAAATACCTTCTTGGACTCCTTCCCTCCATCGGGGATGGGGGAGCTGCCGTTGCCGCAGCCCCTCCTCCCCCGCAGACCTGCAGGGCGGGATCTCCGGGCTCGGAGGGCTGGGCCCCTTTCCCAGACTCCTCCCGCCCATTCCCAGCTCCCCTCCTCTCCAATACGCAAAGTTGGAGAACAGAGAGAGCCCCGGGATGTTAAAAGCTGCAAAAGCCACCTTGGAGTGCACCCAGTCCAATCTCGGCTCTGCTTCGCCCCCACCCCCCATGCGACAGGGGCCAAGGCTGCAACACTCCTCTCTGCAAGGGAAGCAGGCCACTGGCTCACTGCCGCCGCCCCCACCACCAGCGGGTGGGCAGCCTCCCCTGGGGGGCACCCGGGCCACAAAAAACCACCACTAAATACCTAATATGCATTTCAAATGCATCTCAAAAGATCCACCTCTTTCCTATACAGCTGCTGCCCATAAAAACAATTAGCCTGCATGGGACTGAAATTCCTGATTTTTCAGACAATCTACTTCCCCACCCTCCCACCAGAGAGCACTTGAGATCTGGACCAAGCCTGGGGCTTTCTACCTGGGGCCTGCATAGCTCCAGGCTACAAACGCTGCCACTCAACTTCAGGCCGATTCTGCAAAATCTCTCCCAAGCCTCAAATAAACTCTTTTTTCAAATACTTAATTCAGATCTAGCCAAAGAGCAAGGAAATTATTCATATTTTTTTAAAAGAGGTTAGGGATTACTGTTTCTGACACCCAACCATTTACTACACTTCTTAATTAATAAACCAATTCTCCAGCTTTTTAGGTTCTTCCCCTTTTTTTCAAGCACAAAATAATAGAGATGACAGACTCCCCGGAGCCCTACCTGTCTGTCCATGGCCGGGGAGTGGTATGAGGTGGTCGTAGTGAAGGAAAGTGCAGGGCACATACACATAACACTGCCAAGATCCAACCTGGGTTTCCCCAGCAGAAATGGACTTCGATTCTGCCAATCATTTGATCCCACAACAACTGCTTCAGTCACTCATCTTCCAAACCCTCCTCCCTTCCCAGGACCTAGGGCTAGGAGATGCCCCAGTAACCAGGAGCTCCAAGGCCCCTTTTGCTGGAGTTAGCTGAGGTATCCAATGGGGCTGGGTGGCTCAGTCTGGCCCATCAATGCCCCCATTGGAAAAACAAAACAATCTCACACTCCCCAGGAGATCAACTGCCCTTTCCCACTCCTCCCTAGCAACCCTTCCCCTCCCCCCACCGTCCACTTTCTAGAATCATTACAGATAGCCAACCAAGAAGCTGGGCCTTTGCCAAACCACCCCCCCTCATTCTGATAGACCTCCCCTGGGAAAGACCTCGGCTGGAAAGTGCTCCCCAATAACCCAATCAAGAGCAACACACCTTGGGGAGGAATGGGTTAAATTCGAGAGCTCCAGGAGGAGGAGCTGCTCGGGAAAGGGAAGCGGTGCCGAGGTGCAGAGAAATGTGCAGGGCAGGGGCTCCGGACCTGGATGCACAGACGCACGGGCCCCTCTCGTCCGGGGACAAGCCTGGCCACAGGAAATAAAGGTGTCTTCAAAGGGACAGACCGGAGGACAAGCACATGAGACACAAACACAGGCACAGCCCAGGGGGCAGCTTGGAGCCGGAGGTGTGGAACGCTGGATGGGCGTGCTGAGCGCGTGCGTGCCGGGGGCCAGGGGACGTGGGGTGAAGGCAGGCAGAGAGGACAGGCAAGGGCCGGACTCTCGGAGAAGCTGGGAGATAGCTGTCAGGCCGGGGAGGCAGGACGCGGTCGGAGCCAAGGGCGCGAGGCTCCAGATTCCCCTCTGGGTAGAGAAACCTGAGGAAACGGGGGGTGAGGGGATGCTGTGGGGCGAGGGGGGCCGGATCCGTGGGAGGTGCACCCCGCGGGGAGGGGGCCCGGGATGCTCCCAGGCGGCCGGGACGGGAGAGACGAGGGGCAGGTGCATCCCGGGGAGAGAAGCGGGGCGGCCGAGGCGAGGCGGGAGTCCCGTCGGGAGTCGCGCCCGGCCGGGTCGTGGGAGGAGTCGGGGTGTGGGGGGGGGGGGTCTCCTCCCCGGGGACGAGATGCCCGGGCGGGCCGGGAGCGGGACCACCAGCTCGAGGCCCGGTCGCGCGGAGGTGGGGTGGGGAGGCGGGAGGCGGCAGGTGCCGGCGCCCAGGTGCGGGGCCTGGGCGGCGGGCGGGCGCGGCGGCCGCTCACCTGTCTCCTCCGGCCGGGGCCGCGGGGGCGGCGGCGCGGCGGGGCGGCCGGGCCGGGCCGGGCGGAGGCGGCGGGGGCGCGGGGCCCCGGGCGCTGGGGGGCGGCGGCGGCGGCGGCGGCGGCGGCGAGGGCGGCGGCGGGCCCGGCGGCGGCTGCTTTCGGCCGGCCGGCCGGGCGGTCAGTCTGCGAGCGACGCGGGCGCGGACGGAGCGCGGCGAGGCTGCGGCCGGCGCGCGGGGACAACGCCGCTTTATCGGGTCGGAAACAGCCGCCGCGCGCCGCTTCCGCTGACGCAGCGCCGGCCTGCGCTCATGACTATGCAGCAGCAGCCGCGGGAGGCCGGGGCCGGGCTGGCTTCGCGCGCGCCCATTGGCCTCAGCGCGCCCCGCCCACCGCCCGCCCCGCCCCGCCGCCTCCGGCCCCGCCCCGATCCGGCCCCGCCCCTCGCTGCGTCCCACCTCCCTCCCCGAGGGAGGGGCGTCCCGCGAGCCCCCAGCCCCAGCTTCCGCGCGCTAGAGCCCCCGCCCTCCCCCCCGAAAGCAGAGGGGCCCTCACCAGCCCATCCCCTCTAGGAGCGTTCTCCTCCCCTCACCCCCCCCCAACCCGGCCCGCACCGAGCAGGGTGGGCTCCGCCCCCGGGTGCTGCAGAGGACGCCTTCCCGGCCTCGCCTCTCTGGCTCTCCCTCCTCGAACCCCTACCTTGCCTGGGCCATCCCCCCGCACTCTGCGTCCCGTCTGGGTAGCTGGGCAGGATCCGTGCCAGCCAGGGACACCGATCTCGTGGCACCCCTCAAGCAGAATGGCTACAGTCCCAAGGATGGGTCGCCCTCCTACCCCCACCCCCCACCCCGCCCCGACGTCGGAGCCCAGGGAGACAAGGCTGGGGGAGGCAGCCTGACCAACAGAGAAGCGGATGCCCTGTGCCTCGCCAGGGTGGAAGTGGCTGTGCACAAACCAGTTCGCCTCTCAGAGCTGGGTGTCCTCACCTGTAACCCACAGATCATCAGACCCCTCTCATGGGGCCGCTGAAGGGATTTAGAAATAGAGGGTGCGCCGCGCAGCTTCCAGAGCAGTTAGGATGAGAAAATCTGACAATATCAAGTGTTGGTGAGGAAGTGGAGCAACTGGAACTCTCTCCCACTGCTGGGGGGAGGGGGTTGCAAAATGATGCTCTTTCCAAGTGCTTGCGTGCAAACCCTATGACCTCGCAATCCCCTCCTAGATGCACACCTTATGTGATCATCTTTCTCTTCATAGCAATAACCAAACTTGGGGGACCCAAATGCCCATCAGCCGTAGAACAGATACACCCACAGCATTCTCCTATTGGTGCAGTGCAATGTTAGCATGGCTGTGAATAATTTACAACCACACACAACGTGGGTGACTCTCACACATGATTTTGAGGTAAGGAAAGCCAGACATCAAAGCATATAGGGTTCCATGTGCATAAAGTGGTAAAGTGTATGTAAGTGTATGTAGAAGTCAGGATAGTGGTTAGTGTTAGGGGGAGGGGTGCCAGAGCTAGGAGGGGGAAGCCAAGAGAGTGTTTGGGGTGCTGGTGGGATTCCATTTCTCAAGCTGGGTGTTGGTTACATGGGTGTGTATGTCATACTTCAATGAGGGGTTAATAAGAACATCAGTGGCATGTGCGTAAAGAGCCCAAAGTGGCACCCGACACATCGTGGGTACCTCATAACTGTCTATCTACCTCCTCTGTTGGGTTTTTGGCTCCTATGGCCAGAGGATGGAGGCAGAGGCGATCCCAGATATCCTGTGACCTTGGGCACCTTTTGTAATCTTTCAGAGCCTTCCTCCGTAAATGAGCCTTCTAATAACACCTACCTCACAAGTTGTCCTGGGGATTATATAACGCTTTAAAAAAAAAAAGCTTGATACAGTAAGGAGCACAAAGTAAGGACGTAATAACTTTAATTATTCACTACACCTCAAATGATGCTACTTATCAAATCTACTTTCATTCATTCAGCGACCAACTACTGAGTGCCCACTGTATGCCGTCTGTCCGCCAGATGCAGGGTACTGGAGCTGGCGGCAAGATCCTCTCCCCCTCCTCAAGGATTCCGTAGCAGAATGGGAAGCATTCTGATGAAGGAATGCTTGCCAGCCACTGCGGCCGGGGAGCCCAGCATAGGGTATGCTCATAGTAGGTCCTGCATAAATGTTTCTGAAAAAGCGAATGAATGCGTGTATAAAAGTGTATGCGTAAGCTTTCATGTGAAGAAAATTTCAACGTCAGATTAATTTACTTCTACAGTCTGGGGTTTGACAACAGAATGGACAGAGAGCAAGGTCACTGTGCATGCGCTTGCACAAGGGCGCATGCATGTGTGTGCGCGCGCATGTGTGCATGAGGGCTGGGGGCAGGGCCACTCTGCCTGCGCTCCATTCCAGCCTAGCCAGCTGCGGCCTCGTCCAGCTGCCACCACCAGGAGGGGTGTTACAGAATGCATGTTTGTGTTCCCCTAAAAGTCATGTTGAAGCTCTCACCCCCCGTGGGATGACATTGGGAGGAGGGGCCTTTGGGGTGATTAGATTATGAGGGTGGGGCCCTACTGATGGATGAGTGCCCTTATAAGAAGAGACCAGAGAAAGCTCCTTTCTCTCTTTCTGCATGCTGCACGGGGGAAGGCCGTATGAGGAGGCCCTCCCAGAACCCAAGCATGCTGGCGCCCTGATCTCGGATTTCCCAGTGTCCAGAACTGTGAGAAATAAGCATTGGATGTTTGAGCTGCCCAGTCGGTGGTATTCTTGTTATAGCAGCCTGAGCTGATTAAGACAGAGGGTGAGGTGTGCCTGTCGCTGTCCAGCCGCCCCGGCGGGGGGTGGGGGGGGTGCTCTGCAAAGCCATGCAGGTCGTCCTCCCTCACTCCTCGAATGACAGGATCCCCAGTCCTGTGAGGAGGGAGCTTGACATGTGAGAAGCCCTCCTGCCCCGGAGTCAGAAAGACCTGGACTCTGGCCTGGCTCCAGAGCAGGGCGTGCCTGGGCGCCTACCTGTCACAGGTGTGCGACCTCAGAAACAAGCGCTCCATGCCTGGTTGACAGCTCTGCTGTGACTATCTTCAAATTCTTAATAATTTCTGGGGAGTCTGGGTGGCCGACTGGTTAAGCGTCCGACTCTTGGTTTTGGCTCAGGTTGTGATCTGTGGGGTGGACACACACCCTCATCCCTCCCTGGACTGGGCTCCCACTCAGTAGGGAATCTGCTTCCCCTCTCCCTCTGCCCTGCCCCCCCACCCCACCCCTGGCTCAAGCACTCTCCTTCTCTCTCTGTCTCTCTCTCTTTCTGAAATAAATAAATCTTTTGAAAAAATCTTCATAATTTCTAACAAATTGTGCAGCCCATCCTATATCGTCATTTGTAAGCACATTGACCTCCTGGGACACTTGGAGGGACCCCAGGGCACGACAACGTCTCCATCACTGCTTGTGCACCTTGCCTTCTCCCCACCTCACCTGGGGCCCCTTGGAGCAGAGTTGTATCCTTCTCATCCATGGTTTGCATGGGCCTAAGAACTATAAAACTGTATCCTTGCCCATTTTCAGAGACGTGCCAGGAATTTCCCTCCTCCAGGAAGCCCTCTCGATGTCCTGCCTTACAGGAGTGAGTGGCTCCCTCCCATGAGCTCTGAGGCACTCTGCCCCTTCACAGATCATTCCCGACTGTAATTGGGCATGTCTGTCTCTCGAGTGGTCTGCAAGCCCTGTCCAGGGGGCTGGTACCGGGTCAGGTTCATGGCTGCATCCCAGAGGCTGTCCACAATGGGGCTGCAGACATGTTTGCAGGTAGGGGGGACAGAAAGGAAGAGAAAAGGAATCTCTTAATGAGAACCCATGGAGAGACACTGAGGGGTCCACAGACTCCTGAAACAATGTGAACCAACCTTGACTGGGCACTTGCTGAAGGCCAGACCTGGCGTTCCATGTGTCCCCTACAGTGCCATGCCTCCGTGGGTCAAGAGCTTTCATCTCCATCGTGTGACCCCACCAGGTTGAGGACACCTGCAGAAGGCATGACCCGGCAGGGAGGCAGAGAGGATGGGAGTGCTGGCCTGGGAGGGACAGGATTTGGGGCAGGTCAGGGTTGGGGAAATGGAGGGGCAATCAGCAGACAGGTTTAGGGGCGGATCACAGGGCCTGGGTTTGAACTTTGAACTCAGCAGAGGCTGCAGGCTGTACATTGGGGGTGAGGCAGGGGGTACTGCGGAGGGAAGAGAGCACAGCGGAGGGAAGAGAGCACAGAAGCCAGGACTGTGGCCCTCGGTGGATGCCCCCTCTGATCATTTGCAAAGCTGTCCTTCGTTTTTAAGCAACAACACTTTCTATTTTTTTTAAAGATTTATTTATTTGAGAAAGAGAGAGAGCCTGTGGGTGGGGGGGAGCGGTGGCAGGGGCGGGCAGAGGGAGTGTGGAGCCCGAGGAGGGGCTCTGTGGGGCTCGATCTTACGACCCCGAGATCACGACCTGAGCTGAAACCAAGAGTCTGATGCTTAACAGACGGTGCCCCCCAGGCGCCCCTAAGCAGTAACACTTTCTTTTTTTTTTTTTAAAGATTTTATTTATTTATTTGGCAGAGAGAGACACAGCGAGAGAGGGAACACAAGCAGGGGGAGTGGGAGAGGGAGAAGCAGGCTCCCCGCAGAGCAGGGAGCCCGATGCGGGACTCGATCCCAGGACCCTGGGATCATGACCTGGGCTGAAGGCAATCGCTTAACCAACTGAGCCACCCAGGTGCCCAGCAGTAACACTTTCTAAAATAAACTCTTGCCAAACCCAGTGTTTCAACTAGCATGGTCAGTTGTCACCAGGTATTTCTGAGCACCTGCTCTGAGCCAGGCCCGATTTCACATGTTCTCTGGGTGCTGATTTGCAGCTGTGTCTACCTGACGGCACCCTCCTCCCCTGCTCCTGGCTTCCTCGGAGGTTTAGGTGTGATGGAGAGAGCAGAGTGCCCAGTGTCGGAATTTGAGCTCCACCCCTTCCCACCATGTGACCTAGGGGCAAATGCCTAACCTCTGTGAGTCCCAAG